CATCCATCCATCCATCCATCCATCCATCCATCCATCCATCCATCCATTTTCTGAACTGCTTATTCCCAAATGGGGTCAATATATAATAATTAAATAATAAATTATTAAATAATAAATTCAATAATAATTAAAGTATTTCTGATTCTGATATCTTTTATATCTGAAAACGTTTTCCGTTTTACTCTTGGGACTTGATAGTTTGCATTCACTTTTGCTCTTTTGATACTTGTTTCAATGCAGTTTCCTTTAAAATGAATGGAATGTGGTAGAAATGCACGTCCCCTTCAGGAAGAACAATGAATTACAGCTAAATGGAATAATCACAATAATGTTTTATGAACAAATCCCGGCACCGTTAATGAGTCCCGGTAACCTCTAATTAGCAGAGTGAGTCGTAAGCACACGGTGGTCCCCAGTCACACCACGAATAAAAGGAAACATTCAAATGCTAATTAGCAAATGTTAGAATGTAAAAATTGCAGCATTGCATGAGCACCGGGGGTGTGACTGTCACTGTTACAGTTTTGCTGTCAAGGTTTCCTTCAGCTGGGACTGCAGCCCTCACAGACCTTTGACAGCCGCTGGCTAATATGATCCGGATGCGTGACAAATGATCAAACAGCAGAACTTACCTTACGGCACACCTGCTTGCCTCCGAATGCCAGCGGTGTGCTGACTCTGCTGAATGTAGAACAAATAGTGACTGCATTTTCAACCATCTCTGGGGCATAAGACCTGGATTTCTATGACTGTTTATAAAATCCAACAAACAAAACACAAGAAAACATTTGGCTGCTTTGTCCCAAAATACAATTTACTTCCACCAAATTCATTATATTCTTCCGAAGCAGCCAATTTTATATCCTCCATTTCTTGTTATCCCTACCTTATTTAATTTCTAATAAGGATTTTTGAGTGGTTTATCGGTTCCATATAAAGTCTCTATTTAAACCGTGTGCATCATTGTTGATGCAGAGACCAATCCCACTCATTAAGCGTATGTATAATTGTAGGTTTGTTAATTATTGTTTGAGGCTTGTGTGCCTTGGTTTCATAGAGCGTTGATGTGGGCATATTTATTTAGCTTCACACAGTTGGTTGTTTCTAGGGCCTCTGAAATGCTTATCACATGAACGTGGAGCCTACACTTGCACGCTATCCCTACATGAGATGTTGCCTTTTTTTTTAAAGATACAGAAAACATCTTGATCTTATCAGAGAATATTAGCAAAGTTTCCTTGCACGTATAAATAGATATCCGAAAGGTTGAGAATGTTTCTCTTAACACCCACTCGCAGTCTTCCTCTTTCTGTCTTTTCTCTCGCTGTATCACAGTTTGCTTGAGGCTGCAGCCACCCACACGCTCCGTCTTGACAGCAATTTACATTCAGAATGGCCCAACCGAAAACAGCCATGTGTTATATACAAGTCAGGATTTCTTAGATGGCATCATATAAGCATATTAGTGTTACGAGGTGCAGGTAGATATTTGTTAAATATGTCTCTGTGGGTCTTTCAGTCGATTTACCTTGTCATGATTTGCCCGGCTGAGGAAGATCCCCCCCCCCCCCCCCCCCCC